TTAGGATTTTTTTATCTTTAAATAAACATAGTTGTGTTCAACCGATAGTATATAAACCAAATCGAACCGAAGTAAATGTGGATTTAGAATAGTAGTTAAATTTTAATAAACAAAATACCAAAAAATCGAACCGAACTAATATCCGGACTGAACACCCCTAATCCAAATGAACCGAACTATTGTTTCATTTTCCAAAACATAATAAAAATAATAAGGCGCGGGTCTTATCCTAGTTAATATTAAAAACCTAATTTGGGTTGAGAAAAAGCTATTTTACAAGTTAATTATAGTCAATAAAATGTGGTTTTCTCAAATGCAAATTAACAACAGATCATAGATTTAAGTAGCAATGAAATAATTTCTCTGATTCAGAAGATATGAACACAGTTTACTTGATGAAAAGTTGTAATGCAACTCAGGTGGAGAAACAATGAGACTAACTAGAAGACAAAAGAATTTTTTGGTTCACAAGTGGCTGTCACGTCTCTCTCGTTGGTTGAGAAGTTGCAAAAAATGTAATACACAAAACTAATTTAAAGTTTGGAAAATCATATATCGGAAAAACATAAGGAAAATAAAATGTTAATGTAGTATAATTAAAAGCCTTGGACATATGGATATTTAGAATTCTATTTCTAAATTCAAGTACACAGACTAATTACGAGCTATACTAAAAACAATAGGGAAGTTCCAAAAATACATAAACGTACGTCATGTTTTGTTTTCTATGACTAGTTCAAACTTGCCAGATAAATTATGTTCACATCCTCTAGATTACATGAATTTCACATGCATTCTGCTGATCAGTTTAGCATTTTACCACAGTTGAAATGGATAATCTAAGTACAATTATAGCTTGGGAGAGGTCATTCATCTATGGAGAAAGTGTGACTTATGAATAATTTTATCGTCATTAACATTACACAAAACTGATATAGGGAAAAGAAAGATTTTCCCTTGAGTTATTCATAAGAAGAAAAGAAGAAAACAAATCAGAGATTTTGCCACATCAAGAAATCAGTGGTAGTAGTGAAATTTTTTTTTGTAACTAACTATAAGTGTTTTGATCATTGATATAGAGTTTAAACCATCTCTGGTTTCTGCCACCACCGCAGTCCGCCACCACGACCAAATCTACCCAACCTCCTCCACAACCAAACCTATATTATAAATCTTTTTTCTATTATTACTCTGTATAGTTTGCTTTTTCCTATAACTCGAAACGAGATCTCCTGAGTAAAATCACTATTCAAATCACTCAACAAGCTTTCCACAACATTGGAGAGTAGAAATGTCCATACCAAGTTCCAAAAGAGAGCATCCAAGATTCATCTCTATTTGTGGATTCTTACAATATTATTCTTATTTATAATTTTTCCACAAACCAATACATAAAAGGTAATCTTTAAATGAGCATAAGATATGGGACTGGCCTCTAATACAGAAGAAGCTTTATTTTATGGAATTATTTTTAGAAAAATAAAAAAACCTTTAAGGTGCAGAAGAGTAAATGAAACTTGTGACGGAAGCAACCAGATCGTCGCCGTCAGTAAAACGCTCCACCACATCAACTCCCTTCTCCGTCATCAACCTCGCCACGTCTCTCTGCCTATCTGTCATCGCACCTCCTCTTCCTCCTCCTTCTCTACGGAGTTGTTTCTTATCCACTCAACCGCGTCCACACCGTTTTCGTAAGCCGCCGGGAGTTTGTTCGCAGGAGCTAGCCGGTACGAAGCTGACGCAAGGACCACGTTGATCTTAAGCGCGAAAAGTTTGCAGAAGGAGTTGAAGACTGGAGAGTCGACGCTGCCGGTGGTGAAACCTCCACCGTCGAAGATGACAACGAGAGGGAGTTTTTTAGACGAAACGCCGCCGTTTAGTGCGGTAGTGGGGACGTAGAGACGCATCCATGTTGACTTTCTGTGGTTCACAACAATGTCTTTGGATACGACTTGCGATGGCGAGAAGGGATCAGGTGAGGCTTCAGATGATCCAGACATATCTGTTGTTTTTTTTGGGTTCGAAGTCTTGTGTTGTGTATGAAACTGATACTTACCCTTGTCCCCCTTTTATAGTGCAAATTTATGCAATATTATACTAATTTTTTATATACTATTAAACACAGAAGCATTTTTCTATCTACTTACACAATATCAAAGTTTAACCATTAGATTTAACTAACATTTTTAATATTAGCATTTATTAATTAATCATACAATTAAGTTATATACCTTAAATCACACCTTCTTTTACATTATTAATTTAATACATATACCACATATTCTTCTTCTTCTTTTTTTTCACCTATTACAACATATATTGTCTATGATTTATTATGCCATCTTCATTCATGATACGATCTATCAAATAAATATATTAACTACATGAAATTCATGTAAGGTGTCAGTTTGAGCATATATATAAGTATTAGTCCTTATTAAACAACTATAATGATAACAATTTGAAACTATGCTAAATATTTATTTTTAAAAGTTGTATGTTTTCTGTAAGAGGCTTAGGCACAAAATAATGTCCATCTGCATCAAATACAACATTACAATAGCATGCAAAATTTATGAACATATCTATTTTCACTTATGACTGATCTTGAACAACATTAGTGATAACAATTTTGAAACTATGCTAAATCTTTATTTTTAAAAGTTGTATGTTTTCTGTAACAGGCTTACCCACAAAATAATGCCCATCTGCATCAAAGACAACATTACAATAGCATGCAAAATTTATGAACATACCTATTTTCACTTATGACTGATCTTGAACATGTACATGTGCATTTACTCTCATGTAAATTTATTTTGTAAACAATAAAGGGAAAACTGAAATTTTTATGGATCTTGGAAACCCTTACATAAAGTGCTCTATAAAGCAAGTTTTATGTGATTAAACTTGTTCAAATAAACTCTAAAATTAAGAAACTAATCAATTATTTTTGGAACTAACCAATTAAATTTATATTAACACTAAAATTAATGAACTAATCAATTATTTATTATTTATTAATATAAACATCAATAGTGATATAAATTTGCATAACAAAGATAGTCATTGCTCTAACCCAAAGTGCAAGAAAAAAATTCTTTCAAAACTCTCATCAGATATGTAACAATGACATTTTTATGCTTAGATTATTAAGAATTAAATCAATATATGTTTATTGGACAAAATAATTATTGAAAATTAATTAATATTAATATTTAATAATATGATAGAATGGGTTATTAGTATTATAGATAATTTATGATTATAGTTTTTACAGGTCATTTTAACAAATATGGAAAATATTTTATCAAGTATCAAATGAGTTTAATGAATATAATAAGTCATTTCTATTATTGAAAATTTCAAAATTAATTTGAACCAAATTACACTATTTAAATTTTAATCATTAAATCAAATAAAACGAATTATGTACATATAAGTTTAGCGTGTTATGTGGGCTAATGTTTAAATATAAACAAAATAATATTTTAATTTTTTTTAAAATATATAGTTTATCAAAATTATAATTTAATAATTTATTGAAATATTGTAATGTAACTGAATTAGAGAAAGACTGAGACTATGTGAATGATTTAACACAATTTATCTGATGAAATATATATATATATATATTTTTTTTGTAAAGATGCTTATCTGATGAAATATTGTATTTTAACTGAATTAAAGAAAGAATGAAACTAACTACAAAACTAACGACAATGACATTGTTGAGGGGAGAAAACTTAGTCTTTTGTGCTTTCTCTTTTTGTGCACTAAAACAAGAGATCTTTTATGAGTTCACAAGTAGTTGTCATGTCTCTTTCATTGGTTGAGAAGTCGCACAAAACTCAATGTTAAAACTAATTTGAAAATCATATATCAGGAGGAACATATTAATAAAAGGTTAAATTTTAGAATTGTGTTTTTAAATTTAAACACACAGAACAATTACCAGCTATACTAAAAAGAATAGAAAAGTTGCAAAAATACATAACCTTAGGTAAGTAATTTTTGCCTTTCAATGACTCGCCCAAACTTGCAAGATCAATTATGTCACATCCTCTAGATCACATCAATTTCACAAATATTCTACTGATCCGTTTACTGTTTTACCAAAATTGAAAATGATAGCAATTTAACTATAATTTAGAAAATTTATTATCATTATAGTTCAAATTACACAAAACTGATATTGGAAAAGAAAAAAATCTCCTCTAGAGTTATTCATAAGAAGAATAGAAGAAAACAAAAAAGTAAAGATATTAAATATATTATGATTAAGTTATGATAAAATTGATAACTTTCTAAGGATGGTCCAAATTTTTTTTTAAAAAAAAATCACACATGAAGGAGGTCATGACTTCTATTTTAATAGTATACTAGATTTTGACCTGTGCTTTGAAAGCTCGGGATAAGTTTTTGGTTAATTTTTCTTATTTAGGAATTACTACAATTTTTTTTTTAATTTTAATATTTGAATTTTGACGCCTATAATTAAAAGTAATTTATATTGTTGTCTTATAGTAATTTGGGTTGGATGTTTAGGTACCATTACATTTTTTTGGATTGGTTTAGTTTGAGTAATGTTAGATTGGGTTTGTATTTATATTTTTCGAGTTATTTTGGTTTGGGAGTTTAGGACCCGTGTAAGAACCAAATATTTTCCGAATCAGTTCAATTCGAGTAATGTTGGATTCAGTTTGAATTTATATTCTTTATGTAAAACCCGAAATAAAACCGAATTATAAATGGTTTGAATTTGAGTCATGTTCAATCCAAAAATCTCAAAAAACTTTGAAAAATCGAATTAACCCCAAAAATCCAAAATGGTAGTTTAAATAATTAAGGGTTTTTCATATTATAATATAAATTATATTATATATTATGATAGTTAAAATTTTTATTATATTTCGAATATTTGGATACTTGTTCGGCTATTAGTGCAGTTCTGATTTTAGTTTTGGTTTTCGGGTTTAGAAATAGTAACTGTTTGGACTTTAAAAAAATTTGGTATGGTTTTGGTTTTGTACGCAAAAATCAAGATTATGAAGAATAGAAACAAGTTTAGAGATTGTGAGAGGTTTCTCTTGAAAGTAGTTAAGGCCAGCTTCCATAAACTCTTTCCTCTCCTCTTCCTCAGCTCTAGTTGTTACTCCTGCTATCTTGCTCTCTATCCCCATCTCTCTTAGTATCTTTGTCGCCTAATTAAAAAAAATTCAATTAATACAAAAGAAGTTCATTAATTAGTAACATACATAAATGATTGATTGTGTTTCTGCAAAATAACAAAAAAGCATTAACATATACTATTAAGTGAGTGAAGGATGATTTAGTATTACCTGAATACCATTCATGATGCGCATCTCCATGTCCATTAGAATGAGATCATAGTTTCTACCGGAACAATGAACGTCCACAGCTTCTTGGCCATTACAAACGACATCGTTTTGAATACCTAGACGGTCCAAGAGTTTATGATGCGTCATTTGGTTTACCAAATTGTCATCGACCACCAAAGCTCTTAACTTCGACTCTGCTAAATTTGGAACTTCACCAGCCATGTTACAAACTTCTAAGAAAATATGTTTGTGATGGAAACTCAAAAACTCTGTTACAGTCTCTATTTTAAAAGGAGAAGACAACTTATATAATACAAAAACAGGATCAGCTAGATTGTGTTTTGGATTCTGAGGAGATCTAGTGGTAATTTCCAGTTTTTATTACACCAAGATTGATCAAGATCCTTTCACTTTTCATGATACTTAGGGTTTAGATTTAGTTCAATTAATTCAATCTCTTGAGATATTAATTAGCCAAAACACCATGTGAGCAAAAGACATTAATAGCATATAATCACATATGATTATAACTATAGAGATGTTCTGCTAATTCTAGTAATAAATATCACACATTATATGATAAATTTTGATGAGATAATTTCACTTTTATGTTTCATTTGGTACCATTATTCAGCTTTAGGTTCTTTAAATAGATTTCACAAATACCTAAGGATAAGTTTTACTAAGAGGTAAAAGATATGTATACTATTTCATTATAATTATATATATATGCATAATTATTTAAATAAAAACATCTTTTTATGGTTTTAAATTATATATTTTTAAATTTGAACTTTGTATAATTTTTTGTATTTTTCAAGATTTTCCTTTTTCGAAATTTTTATTTTGAAATTGGAAAATTATTTTTGAAACTATTTTAATTTTAAAATATTTTTTATATTTACTAAAAATCTAAATCTACCCTTTAAATCTAAACTCTAAGTGTAGATTAGTTAACTCTAGAGTTATAAATGTCTACTTACCTCACTAAAATCAAAGATCAATATGGTTCAAAAAAAAATGATATTAAGAAAATTTTAGACAATTTCTCACTTTTGATTTGCTATAATTCATAAAAGACAAAATTATATATTTCTTTAAAATTTCTGAGATTATTAAAGATCTACATATTAATTTTTCTTAAACAAAACAAATTGACGAAATCTTGTACAGATTTATCTTTTAAAAGATATCTCTGAACTACATAAAAATTATTTATTAGTTAATCTAATAATTTAAAATCTAATAATTCCACAAACTTTATTACAAAGTAATGCCAATATATATCTCATTATTAAACATGCGCCGATTTGTTTAGTGATATTTTTATTAGGGCAATTCTCTCAAATAGCCCTTTTTAAAGTTTTTATCACAAAAATAAATCTCGAAAATTAAAATGACCAAAATAGCATTTTTTATTTTGAAAATTTTAAGTTTTTTCAATTTTTAAAAATTTGAAATCCTATCCCCAAACCCCCACTCATCAACTCTAAAAAAAAAAGTCTATGATTAATTAACCCAATGGATATAAATGTATATTCAATAAAACATTTAAGTGTTATTTTGGTCATTTTAATTGTTAAGGTCTATATTTGTGACAAAAACTTTTTTAGAACTATCCTAATCATTTTTCTTTTATTATTATTTATTCGCTTTATAAAACAGAAAAGATAAAATATTTTTACGGAGGTTGTGGCCTTGACTGAACAATGTAAACATCTTCACCAACCAAACAACCTTCAACATCTTGTGCACAACCAAAGTTTCTTTCCAAGAAGAACCCAACAGAACCAAGTCTCTGACCAAGTTTCTGTCTAAACACCGAGTCAACCGTTAACCGTTTCTTGCTATAGTCAACAGTCAACCGAACATACTGATAAGCCGCAACATCGTTACGTGAGGAGGAGGAAACGTTCGACGAGAGAAGAAGGTGAGAGGGAAATTCAAGAAGGTTTGAATTTGGAGAAAGACTCCACTTCTGGTGGAGGGTTCGACGCTTCAGAGACTTGATTTGGAACGGAGGGTTTGAGTCATGAGAGAGTCTCTGTTTCATTTAGCGGCTTTGCCGTTATGTCTGTTGCGTCTGTTAAATAGCCGTTGAGGCTTTTCATTTGTGTTTAGCTTGGTATTTGGAGATAGAGACGAGAGTCTTGAGGAGTAATCGTCTGGGTTAGGCCAGCGATTCTCATTTGTTTTCGAATACTAAGTGTAACCGTTCTTGATTGATTCAATAAAGTGTTTGTGATTGAGTTTTACAGAGGATTCGATAATCAAACTCTATCAATTGGTGCGGTGAGCATTTTCGCGATGGCGTTAGCGGACGAATCGGATGGGAGGATGGAGATCCTTGAGCGAGCAGCGATGGAAACGGAGAAGACGGTTAAGGTGATCTACGACGGATGGAGAAAGCTTACGGACGCACATACTAAATCCGAAGGTCGATTCGATGCGGTGGAGTCGCGTCTGAGCTCCGTCGAGTCTCATTTGGAGAAGATCGCAACTGCAATCGATCGGATAGCGTCCAATACATCGTCAAAACCTCACGGCAAGGATATCGCGAGTTCCTCGGAACCTCTGGTACGTGATTCTGTTACTGAATCGGACGATCATCCGTTAGGTTATCGGAGGAATACGGATATGTTTGAGAGTCGTGTGAGTTTGATGAAGAAGATTGAATTACCAACGTTTGATGGTTTGATGCCTTATATAGTTGGATTAGAAATGTAGAACGATACTTCCGAGCAGCTCGTTACAGTGATCAAGAGAAACTGAAGCTTGTGGCCTTGAGTTTGATTGGTGAAGTGTTGAACTGGTATTTGTGGGAGTCCGATGAGGAATCTTTTGAGAGCTGGTTTCATTTTAAACAAAGAATGCTTGAACGGTTTGCCGAATCTATTGACGACGAGCCGCGCAATCGTCTTTGTGCCTTGACACAGACTGGATCAGTTCGCCAATACGTGAAGGAGTTTGAGGAATTGATCATTCAAGTCAAGGGCATCGATGAACCAAATTTGATCAGCAAGTTCTATACATGCTTGAAACAAGAAATGAAAGAAGTTATCAAGATCAAAGAGCCTAAAGGACTGCGCAATCACATTGCTGCTGTAGTCAAAATGGAGAGTAGTACCTTCTGTCATGTGATGGGTGATCGAGCGAAACCAAGACAGAACGAGTACAATACTCAAGCTGTTAGACAACAAAAACTTCAACGTCCCCTATTACCTAACGTAGAGGACAAGTCTAAACAGCAAGAAGTGCACAAGAACTTACCTCAGAGACCACGATTACATTTGACTCCAGCTGAATTAGCGGAGTTGAAGAGGCTAAAGCTGTGTTTCCAATGTAAGACGCGATGGTTCCGAGGTCATGTGTGTGCCAACCCCGAACTCAAAATAATTGTTCTGTGTGAGGGGGTAGAAGCGGAAGTGTTACAAGATACTTATGAGGAAGAGGTTGTACGGGAGGAGTTGGAAGAAGAGGAGCAGAATCCACAAATGATGGAGATATCATTGAACGCTTATCTAGGCTTGGACTCTCCTACTACTACGAAGTTGAGAGGAGTACTAGAGGGATCTAAGTTGATAGTGTTAATCGACAGTGGAGCCACACACAACTTTGTCACTCCAGAATTTGCAAAGAAGGCAGGTTTGCAGGTTCGTGACACCACTGGTTGGCAAATAATACTAGGCAATGGTCTAACGACGCTATCAGGGGGTGTGTGGAAGGATGCTAAACTCGAGTTACAAGGCCTAGAGTTTGTTATTGACTGCATCACTTTGGACCTCGGGAAGGTGGATTTGGTATTGGGAGTGCAGTGGTTGAGAACTTTGGGGAAATGTGAGATAGACTGGGTCACTCAAGAGTGGAGTTTCTGGCACAGCGGGACCAAAGTTCAACTGAACGGTGAATTTGATTTACACCAACCAGCAGTTACACACCAACACTTGTCTATAGATGATGGATTATGGGAAGTTCCGAGGGATTCTTGGTGTTACTCGTTAGCTGAACAACAGGTGGAATCTCATTCCCTTCCAACGTCCATTGCTAATGTTTTGAGCAGTTATGAGCATGTATTTGCCAAGCCTCAAGATCTTCCTCCGGTTCGAGGCCGAGAGCATGCTATAGTCCTCAAAGCAGGCACGACAGCAATCAATGTCCGACCTTACCGTTATCCCCAAGCTCATAAGGAAGCAATGACAGTAATGGTTGAAGAAATGTTAGCAAAAGGATTGATCAGAGCGAGTCGGAGTCCTTTTTCAAGCCCGGTGCTATTGGTTAAAAAACAAGATAAGTCATGGCGTTTCTGTGTTGATTACCGTGCCTTAAACCAAGCTACTGTGGCTGATAAGTTTCCTATTCCTATGATTGATCAATTGCTTGACGAACTACATGGGGCACGGATTTTCTCCAAAATGGACCTCACTGCAGGGTTTCATCAGATTCGCATGGAATAGAAGGATATACCAAAGACTGCATTCAGAACCCATGATGGCCACTATGAGTTTTTGGTCATGCCTTTTGGGTTGACAAATGCACCGTCTACTTTCCAATCCCTGATGAATGATCTGTTTAGACCTTACTTAGGCAAATTTGTCTTGGTGTTCTTTGATGATGTGTTGATCTACAGCAAAAACGAAGAGGATCATGCTCGGCATCTAGACGCAATACTTAAGGTTTTTGAGTTGAACAGCCTGTTTGCTAATAAGAAGAAGTGTTTGTTTGCTCAGACACAAATCAAATACTTAGGCCACGTTATTTCTGCGGAGGGTGTAGCTATTGATTCAGTCAAAACAGAGTCAATGCGGATTTGGCCTACTCCTAAAAACATTAAACAGCTTCGTGGTTTCTTGGGTATCACGGGTTACTACAGACGGTTTGTCCGTGGTTATGGCTCACTTGCTCGGCCGTTAGCAGATTTATTGAGGCGTGATAAGTTCGTTTGGTCTCCAGAAGCTCAGACAGCATTTGATTCGTTGAAGAAAGCTATGATTTATGCACCTGTGTTGTCTCTTCCAGATTTAAAAAAAAACGTTTGTAGTGGAGTGTGATGCTTCAGGGTTTGGCGTGGGAGCAGTGTTAATGCAAGAGGGTCGTCCTATAGCTTACTTCAGTCACGGGTTAACAGCTAGAGAGCAACTAAAACCGATCTATGAAAGAGAGTTGATGGCTGTGGTGTTAGCTATCAGGAAATGGAAACACTACCTCTTGGGACGAAGATTTGT